CACTTCTTCTTCCCAACCCTTGTATATTCAGGCCCAAGATGTGGCCTGGCAGTTGAAAGGAGTGGTGAGCTTGGAGTGCTGGTTAATCATTTTCTAAAAATGTTGAAAGAGAGTGCAATCGCCACAGTCTTTTTCCAGCTTATCACTCTGGCTAAAAGTGTTGAAGGAAATGCAGTTGAACTGGCGGATGCTTCCTGCCTCATCTTTGTTTATGAAGTTACTATCTGAAAAGCCTCTATTAGGAATCCACAACAATATAAGCAGGAAGGCTGGAAGTGTGCTTGTAAGGCCACCTGCAACAGCCTCCCCCGGAGGCATACCTGACAGAGATAATGGACAGCATCTTTCACAATCCCCAGCCAGTGTGGCTGTTGGCTTCACTTCGGCTGGACTTCATCTATAGACAGAAAGCAGAAAGCCAACCAAGCCCACCAATTTCCATTCTTCAAACAGAATAACATGGCAAAGTCTTTGGTAACTAGATGAAAAGCTTGAAGAATAATTTAAAACAAAATGAGTACATCCTAGTATTTTTCTCTGACAAATTAGTATGAACTCCTGTCAACTTTGGGAAATGTGTTTCCATGTTAGAGGTCTATCTGTCTCCAGGATTGTTCATACTGTAGAAGTTAGTGTGATCCAGCCAGTGTTCAAAAGGGCCTTATCTTCACTGCAATCTATTTTAACTCTTTGTACCCATCTATGAAGACAGAACAAAGAGCTTTTTTGCATCTCAATGAATCATCCCCAGAAAACTGCATGTCCTAGCCCTGTGCCAGAAAGATACAGGCCAGCTCTTAAAGGGGAAGGATGGATCATTTTACATAGAAACACAAGTGGACGAGGTCTTTTTATCAGTGTCAAACATTCAGATAATTGTCCTTGGTGCCACTTGTTCTTCTTTTCATTTTGTATGTTGCATCTATTATTGTAAACCATCCCAAACAGTGCTTCACACGAATGGGGTGGTATATAAATCAAATCAAGTCAATCAATCAAATCAAGTCAATCAATCAAATCAAGTCAATCAAGTCAATCAAGTCAATCAATCAATCAATCAATCAATCAATCAATCACTGCCAATGTGGACAGACTCTTAGTCTCCTATTCAATGCCAAGGCAATCAAGAAGCCCACTAGCAGTAAGGTTACTTCATACAATATTTGTCAGTAGCAGAAATTAGTTTCATTTTGCATTTCCGTATATTCAGACTATGGTCTCCAACATGTAGGCACCCTTACTAACATCTGCAAGGTCTGCCTGTTTCTAAATACACTGTGTATCTCTACATCCAGGAGCAGTGTTTCTCAGTACCATGGCAACAAAACCGCCCTGGAGTCAGAAGCTAGTTTAACCCTTTCACATTGAACAGTCTTCTTTGGGGATGCAGTTTTATGCTTCAGACCTACTGCACACTGAGCTGTAGTCATCTTGCCCACCCCCAGCACATTCCAGGTGTGCCAGACTACAAATCTCATCACTCCACAACTAACATAGGGCTGGTGAGAGTTATAGTCCACTCCCTTTGGAGGGCCAGAGATAGGAAGGTGCTGAGATGCAGGATTTGGCAGAAGCCGTGATATTCCTGCCGTTTCTGCTGCCACCATGACAGTTCTTCTGGTGAATCAGCATAGATACAGTCCTGGAACTTCTTGTAGGCAAAAGAGAAGGATGAAATAAAATGCCCACTGATTCAATGGAACTACCCTAGCGTGATTTACTGCATTAAGCAGCAGGGGTTTGGCCGCTATTTGTTGCATACTAAGTTGTATGACTCAGAGTGTAACAGAAAATACAGTATTTGTGGTGATTTCTTAAACTGAGCCAATTCGCTTCCAAAATGGTCGTTATCCATGTAGCTACGGAAGAGGATTTTGGCTAGTGCATCTCCAACGTGACCAAATAAAGAAATCATAGTTTGATTGCAAGGGAGAAAGAGTGAAACTGGGCTTTGCTCCCTAAGAGATCTATCAGACAAGAATTTCACCACCATCAGTCACAGTGCTTGTGGGGGAGACATTGTATGAAGTCACTGAAAGCATATAGTCAGTTACCTCATGCAATTTAATTTGGTGGCTGGTGCAGTACTTTGCAACACTGAGGGTGAAGGGCTTCTTTGGGTGTGTTTATTTAATTTCCATTCCACATTTTCTTCTTTATAGGACCCAAGGTGGATTACAATATATATGCATTTTAAAAATGCAGTTCTATTGTTTCCTCTGAGCATCTCTTTCCACTTTTGCTTGCTTTGTCTCATTAATTAGAGTAGTCTAGCCTAATCCCCTGTTTCCTCATTTGTTTATTGTGCATGAACTGATGTGTGTTTTAATAGTGAAACTTATTCTTGCCTCCCGCCTCAACTCTGCCTTGTTGTCCCGAGTTAATTTGCTTTCCTCATCTCTCTCTCTCTCTCTCATATGTTTCTCTCTGTGTGCACGCACGCGTGTGTATGCAACTGAACATTCCTCTGAGGAATCATATTTATAAATTGTTTTACATACATTTCTGTGACATCTTTAATTCATATTGTGAAAAAGCTTTATTGTTTCAACAGTATTTCCTATTTCAACTGTATTTCTTTGAGTGAAGAACCATTTTTAATTTCCATATCATTGTCTCTCCTCAATTATGTGTCTATATTTATTTGTGCATCAACTCCCTCTCTTAACAGTTTCAGTAGTTACATTATATTACTGTGATATCTCTTCCTGAGTTTACCTTGATCAGTCATGAGACAGCCCCTTTACCAAGCCAGCTGCCTTTCCGTGAAATATTTCAGTTATATTTTCTTAGGGTTCAAGCACTGTGCTTCCCAGCAAGGGGATGATGCCCCCCCTAAAGACTGCCCTTGATTTAGCTACGTGTTTTGGCCTGTTCACCTCTGCCACACACTGCTGCCTCACCTCTGTAGCTCTGGTGCTCACCAAGCTGCCTTTAAAGTGAAACATGTCAACTCCGAAAATTGTATTCCGTCTTTATTGCCCTATTCAATGCAGCAGTATAGTAACTCTGTACATTAACAGTGTTTTTTAGGATTTCAGAATCATGCCCCAGCAAAGGGATTCTGTCAACCTGTTATCCATGCTCGCCCACCACTGCCTAACGCCCACAGTCTTCTCTTTCAGGCCCATACTTTAACTCTTCTTCCTCACTCTTGGTTTTCATTTTAACTGGCTCTTCTTTAGCGCAACTGTTCAAGTAATAAAGCTAGGAAGGTGCCGTCAATAATAGGGAGACAGAAAGAAGGCAAAAAGCAGCATGAACAGATAAGACCGAAGTACTCAACTGAATGCATCTGTTGCATTTTGTATTTGTTCTAAAACAAACAAGCTTTAAAGACACCTACCACACAACTCATTGCATCTTCAATTTGGCAAGTACACTTTCCTTTTTAAGGTCTTTTGTGTCTCCAAAAATGTATGTATATTAGTGGAGTGAGGGGCGGGGAATAATAATAATAATTTTTTTTTCCAAGTGAATGGATGGACTGATGATTGAGATTTTGAGATAGCAGTTTGAAGTGTGGATTAATCATAGATGGGCCTGAATGTTTTGGTGTAAAGCACCAAAACAGCCTTTGAGCCAAATTGGAGGCCCCATGCAAAGCCTAAATGCACACATCGGCATTGCAAAATTGTATACAGTAATACATTCTGTATGTGTGTGTGTGTGTGTTTGTGTGTGTCCCTTAAAACAATCAATTTCCACTGGAGGAAAAAGACAGATTTCATATTTACCGTGCTCTTTGGATGTTCCCAGTGCTCCATGCTTTTTTTACTGATTAATTTTAATCTAGTCCCCCAAATTATGCAAGACAGAGGCCCAAATTACAGTTTACCACTGAGAAAACAATGAGCACTGGGAACACACATAGACTGTAACCAAAAATCAGTCTCCTTCCTCCAGTGGAATCTGTTTGCTTTGAATGAGAAAAACTTAACTGATGCTATGAAGGTGATTCATCTCTAGCTCTAGGATCAGGGATAACAGGAGCTACTACCTTCATACTAAATGCGGTAGCATCATATTGCTGACTCATTATGCCTTGCCAATATCTCACAATATCCAGACTGGGCTATTGCTCACCTGGTATCCAGGTTTAATGAATTCACGGTTTTGCTGTGCAAACACACTCAGCTGTCTGATGTGGAATTATGTTACTTTGCTTAGTTTTTATTAATGAGAAAAGACATTCCTACCCCTCCTGGGCATGTAATAAAGGTTAGAAATGTCTCAATGCTTTCCATTATTCTCTGGCTTCCCAAACCGCTCTTAAAAGGCAGTAGAATACGTTATGCCAAAATAAGGTAAAGCAGGCAGGAATATCTAGAACTCGTATTCTGTTCTCTTAATTCAAATTGAGGGTTTCTGATTCTCAACCATATATTTATCTTGCTTCTGAACACATATGGTTTTCATTAGCCCCCCCATTTCAGCAACCTGTCAACAATCTATCCATATGGTGATAAGTTCATTTGCATCAAGCCTTCTGCTCTCAGAGGATTTCTGTTCTTGGATAGACAAAGAATTTCTGTCTCTAAGCCTACGTCTGATAAAAGCTTCAACTATACTACAAACAGCATCTGTCAAGAAGCATTCCATAATCACGGACACAATTTGCACCAACCATGTGCTACTCTATTGGTTATCTGTAATAGAACAGAAGATATTAACTGGCCTTAGCATTTCAGTTCTCAGGTTCCATGCCAGGCTTTGCCAAGCCTCTGTGACATCACAGCAATCAATTTGTGGCAACCAATAAGCTCGCAGTCCCACAGAGTTCCACTGTGACATCTCAGCTGTTTTTGGCCAGATGCCCCAGGCACGTAACTATTTACTGAATCTACCAGATAACAAGGATGCCTGAATCCACAATCATCCAGAAAAAGACAGCGTTCCCGTCTCTCTCAGGGTTCCCTCCTCCCTCCACACATGTAACCACAGACACGAACACATTCAGAAGCCAAGTGGAAAGAAAACAAAAGATGCAAGGGGCTTACTTTTCGTAGTCATGTTTGCAGTAGAGCTGCCGGTTGCGGCAATAGCATGTCCCCGACAGAGGCTGCAGGCAAGCGGCACACTTCACACAGCCTTCATGCCAGGAACGCTCGTTCACCCTCAGGAGGAAGCGGTCGGAGATTGGGGTGTTGCACCCAGCACAAACTTCTCGCATTTTGGACTCGGAGCCTAAAATGTAGGGGGAAAACAACAGCAACAATGGAAGCAAAAATGAGTTGCATCCTGATAGAGGAGGAGCAGCCCAGTTAGAGGGAAGATCCACCAGCACACAATTGAACGAGGGACATTATGGTCCTTCATTTATCTATTCAGTAAGTCAGTTCCATTCCATCCAGTGGGAATTACTCCCAGCACAACAGTATATGCCCACTGCATGGTGCTACGTATTCTATTGTACGACACGGAATCATGAATCTTAACACAGGTGACTGCAAAAGGAGATAGATGCATGGATGCTAAGAATTTCTTGGATCAAGAAGGTGACCAGTGAGGAACTTTTAATCTGAATGAATAATGCTGAGGAAATAAGAAGCAGAAACCTAGAATATTTTGATCACACAATAAGAATCAAAAAGTAGAGGTTATTAAAACTGATCCTTCAGAGCAAATTAAAAAGGATATTACAGGAAGAACTCCTTGGCTGAAGAATCTTGGAGACTGGTTTGGGTGTGATTTTTGTTTACAGCTGCTATATCCAAAGCCCAAATAGCTGTGAGGACGTTTTGTCCATGCTAGGAGAGAACCATCAACAATAGGAGGAAGTGATCAATGTGAGACTGAAGACTGGAGATGGAGGTAGCAAATCGTTTTATTGGGTTTGACTGTGTTGATTGAAATAGTGTTTTTGCACCTCCCAAGACCTCTTATGAGACAAAACATCCCTCACCTCAAGAATCTTCTGTACATTAGAAAGACATTAATTCTTGATGGAAATAAAAAAAGTAACATCCAATTTCAAAATGCAAAATCAAAAAGGTGCAGTGTGTGTGTGTGTGTGTGTGTGTGTGTGTAAAAAAAAAATCAAAGAAACACATTTTAGTCCGTAGGGGAATAAAGAGATTAAATAAAACACTTGAAATAAATAAATAAAGGAAAGTTTACAAAAGAAAGTTATTGGATCAGGAGATCTTTCATAGTTCTACAGGTAAATAGAAAATGTTGAAGAATGCCATGCCTTCTCCTCCTCCTCCTCCTCCTTTTGCAGCTTTCATTTGAAAGCTCTGTGTAATCATATGGGCTGGCAACAGGCATTATTAATCAGCTGCAACCCTCCTTACTGGAAAATAGACTTACAGTATGACCAATTGACTCTACATTTCCCACTGTATGAGGTTTTGTTTCGATTAATGATCAATCTGACTGTTTTTTCAAAGCCCTTATACAAATCATGGCAAGTAGTGGAGAACTTGAAATGCTCTGAGAAGTCCCGAAACTCAGAGGATTTGCCAGTGATTTGCCATCACTCATTTCAATTCTATGTTTACCATTGCCTGATACCAGTTATTCCCAGATGAGGCATTTATCACACAATTGCCTTACTCTGTTAATGGAATTTTACAGCTGTTGTTGCATTCTATTTGTAACCTTTCTGTGTTTTGTCCCCTCTTCTTCCATTTTGTTTCCTTTTCATTCAAACACACACAAATCTGCCGAGGCAGAAAAAGGTAAAAGGATGGCACAGTGCCTCTTAATTGCCAGCACAAGGGCATCCACCACTTCATCTGTCTGGTGAATTTGTCGTCCTTCTTGCAAGTCAAGATTTGGTACTGGTCTTACTTCCTTCCCTGATGGCTGGCAGAGGGAAGCAACTGCTTCAAGTGTCCTTCTCCTGCGCTCTCTGACCTTCTTCTCTCTTGGAGGATGGAGCCATCTCCTATACCCCTTAGTCTAATTTACCTTTCTCTGATGTAGCAGATATCACCGTCCCATAGCCAACATCAACCCAGTTCACTTCTCTAGATAGAACTGCAGGATGATGGTGCCATAAGGTCTTTTGCCTAAGGCAGCTAAATTTTTCGTGCTGCCCCCTACTTCATACTTTGGCTTCAGCAGGACACACTCATTTTAAACAGTGTTATATTTCGCAGTGGACTCCTTGGGATTATCATGGCAATCATCTGGGGCAGACCGACAAAAGTTTTCCAGCAGAGAGAGCAAATGATAAAGACAGGCAGATCAGTGACAAACAACCCATTCAGTGGCGGAGTTGACATAGGCCTGAAGCAAATGGGAAGTGAAGGTTTTTCCAAGAGAATTTCATCCTTCCTTCTATCACAGCAACCGTATGGATTGTGGTAGCTGGAATTTCCTTAGGCACTTCCCCCTGCCCCCATTTTTGAGGGTGGTCCATGTACTCTGTGCATGGCCCAATCCATTTCTAGAGCAGAGATTGCTTTGCTCAGATCGGCCTTTGCTAGTTGCAAGCAGATACAAAGAGAAAGGGAAAACCTACGTCTGAGCATATATGCCCGCTTGCTTTTTACTGTTTCCTTTAGCATGTGGGAACAGTGGATTTTGGTAGCTCTCTTCAAGGAAATGTATGGTCTCCAGCAGCCCATTAAGCCTTAAGGAAAAGGCATGAATATTAGGGCTCTCAACTGTGAATCTTAATGGATCAATTGTATGAGTGTTAGTGAATTAATTGGATACTTATTAGTTACATTTGCATACGTTTTCATATTGTAGAAATAATTATTAGCTGGCTGGATAGTCAGAACACATGTCTGCAGAACCAGGGGTTGGGGGTTTGATTCCCCAATGTGCCTTCTTGGAAAAGAGCTGGTCTCTGTAGCCTTGGGCAAGCTGCACAGTTTACAGGACTGTAAAGGGTCACTATAAGTGGGAACTGACACGATGGCATGAATGTAATTAATTAATATTTATTAAAACGCATAATCATCCTCAATCTCATCTCCTCCCACTTCTTTTAACTAGAGTTTATTTGCAGACACAAAGCTAAAACGAGAGGAACAGAAGCCAATCAATCTGCGGAAATGAAAGAAATCACATCTAGTTTTGCATTAAAAAAAATACTGAGAGTATGTTGAAAGGAAATGAAGGCTATTATATTAGTTAAACACTCCATATCATTGAGTCAAATGTGTGGTTCCAAAAGGTCTGATGAAGGGACCTTAGGAAAAGATGGACTGGAATAACTCCAGAGACACCTGGGTTACCCAAGGTTGGGAACCACTTTTCTAGAGGGCAGTTCTGAAGAAAGAATCACTCTTCCTTTGCTTTTGGGCAAGGCACACATTGAGGCAAGTGCTGTGTTAAGTATTTCCCTCTCTTTAATAGAAATATGGAAGGGCATGGGTTTTTTGTAAAGCCTGTACTAAAAACATAGAATTATATCAGGAGCTACTTTTCATGCACAGTGCAAAGGCTCTGTGAATGGACGGTGTCTTTGCTTGATATTCAGGGATCTTTCTTTATTCAGCAGGGGACTCCGAGCTTCTGAGTAGCTTTCCGGTGGACTGGATGGGCTGCTTGAATGGAGGCAAGTTTGTTTCATTGGGATCAATTCCCTTCTCTTAAATCCAAACTAATGCTTTCCAAATCTTGGTACTCCATCTTGTTTGCTTATGAATTAATCCATCTAGCATGAATGAATGCTCTAAGGCAAATTAATAAAGTCAAGAATGCTCTACAGCAAAACATAAAACAAAACGCCAAAAACAAATTTAAATATCAAACTAGAATTAAAACCAGAGCACCATTAAAACCAAGAAAAGCAAAAGCAAAACTGTCAGTCTCATATTAAAAACTATTAAAAATCCAACAGGACAAAAACGACTCCACTATTAGTCAGAAAATAAATAGAGATGTGCCTTTGGGAGGGAATTCTAAGACTGGGGTGCAGTCACAAAAAAGACCCTGTCCTCGCTTTTCACCATCCATATCTCCATTAGCAGTGAAATGCCCAGCAAGACCTCCATAGAAGACGGTAACCTAATGGGAGTGTGTGGTCTAAGCCAATCCACATAAAACCCAGAGCCTGATGGAAACATCCAGGGACCTGGCACTGCCACTGCTGCTACCACTGCATCCTCCAGATCACTGCCACCTGAGTGCCCATCACCTCTACTCTGCCCAGTGGAAGGGCCAGCTGAGAGGACCGTGGGTGTCCGCATCTTTGTATTGCTTCTATTCATTTCTGAATGCCATGTGTTCTCTCTAACTCAACATGCACTTCCATCACATTGGGCAGTGAATTTGGTAGGATGAGGTATGATGAACACACAGCAAATTGTTGCTTATATATTATTACTGTTATCTTTATTTCTAGAAAGAGATGCCTTTGGAATTTCTTTTTTTCCCCTTCCTCAAAGTGTCTACATAATTTGGCCAAACTTGGCTACTATGTTTCTTAACAAGGCGATCATTTCCTGTCATGATTCAGGCAACAAAATGTCTTGCTCATCTCTCTAGACTAATGGTTCCCAACCTTGGGTCCTTGGATGTTCTTGAACTAAAATCCTCAGAAGCCTTCCCCACTAGCTGTGCTGGCCAGGATTTCTGGGAGTTGTAGTCCAAGAACATTCAGGAACCCAAGGTAGGGAACCAGTGCTCTAAAGTAAGCTGAAGGTGGTCTCACCTGGTTAGGTGTGGTTCATTCCAGTTTTGAGTGGGCTAACAGAAGTTTCTCGTAAAAATCTGACCAGCATCTTCTCCCACTTGTGTATCTTGGTTTATATGGAGAATATTAGACTAGACTAGACTAGACTAGACTAGACTAGACTAGACTAGACTAGACTAGACTAGACTAGACTAGACTAGACTAGACTAGACTAGACTAGACTAGACTAGACTAGACTAGACTAGACTAGACTAGACTAGACTAGATAGATAGATAGATAGATAGATAGAGATAAAAGTCCTATCTCTCATTGAAATGTCACTGTGTTGATACAGTCTACATGATATATGCGGTCAAAGTGTTAGGTTGTGGCCTGGAAGATCCTGGGTCCAGTTCCCACTGTGCCACGAGATGTTTGGGCGACCTTGGCCATCCACTCACTCTCTTCCTCTCCAGCTGACCACAGGATTGCTGAGAGGAGGATGTGACGAAGACTGGAGCCATGTAGCTCTTGATGTTATTGGAGAAAAAGTTCACCATGCGAGCTCAGTGCAGGAAAGGCAGGTTACAAGCATCATGAATAAAGAAA